ACCCTCCATGTTTACCCCCCGTAGAGCCGTATAGTCTGGGAGCTTTGCTTTAAGCTCAAGTGCTTCTCATACATGGAGGTCTAGCGGGAGCAATCCTCCTCTCGATTCATTACCTCCAGGAGGCAGAGCTCCTTCTGTTGGGCACCATGACAACATGGCACTGCTCTTTTCCCTCCAGCCTTTGTAGAGCGGAGGGGGGGGGGGGTGTCGGGACGCAAGAGACAAAGTGCACTGGCTTCACAAGCAGCCATCCACTTTAAGGTTACATGAATCATAGGTTTAATATGTCGCACCGAACAATCCGAGAGGAAAGAGGACGCATCCCGAAAAAAATCAAAACTCAAATCAATCCGTCGCCGTGCTCAAATAACCGAGTGTCTTTAGAAAGCTTTACTCTATATATACACACACGCAATCAATTAAACAACTGCAGGATAATTTACGACTGACGAGTTTACCCTGGCAGCCAGGGATCACTGCCTTTTTAGCAACATATTGCTTATTAGCTTCGAGGGAACGGTGAGAGAGGGCACGAGCAGTGGAAACGCGATAGGAAGCTAAAGAAAAGTGTGTGCAGCGGTAGAACCGAGGGTTAATTCAAAGCCAAAACAAACAGCCCCGGCAATCAAGAACAGTGAGTTACCTAATCTTGTTTTGTATCCTCCAAAGTACTAATTAAGTTGGATAAACATAGCAGTTGATTGAAAAAGACACTTCATTCACTTCATTATGTGAGACATGAGTGGAAAGATTGCTAATGATCATGGGCAACCTCAGTGAAGTGGAATAAAACAGTTAGGCTGAGGGGAAATATAATCCACACATATCAGACAATCGCAGGCTCTTTCAGTGGCTACAGCAGCTTGTCAGGGTGGCTCCCATCCAAACATCCATAGCTGCTGCATGAAAAACAGACAGGAGGAGCTCTATTCAGACGAAGCAGCGAGCTACCGGCGGGTTATTTATGTGAGAAATCACCGACATGCTTCCCCATAAACTATATTATTAATTTGTAGAGGTAGGCTTCTATATCATCCGAGGGATTAGGGCCTGTGCGCTTTACTGCATTTTAATTTGCCACAGTTAGCCCTTATTCCCCCCCACTGCACCCCTACAAAACCAAATTCATAAATTCACACAGTTATCAAAGCACACCTTTAATGAGGATCGGCTGCTTCGGTCTGAAACGACACGCGAGCTAATTCGGGGGGACTCGACAAAATCTCATAATGCGAGGAAAATGAAAATCGACAATCGACTTTGGGACGTTAATCTATATCTTTCTACATCTAGTGCTGGTATTTCTTTGCTTTTCTTTTTTGTTTTTCATTCTACACACTGTTAGAGGGGATCAGGCCTAATGCTTCGGCAAACGCGCGTTAAGGTACTCCAACTGTTGTGCTGTAATTAAACTAGAGCAATAAATCGACAAGAGACCAATCAAAAGCAAAACTACTGCATATATTGGCCAAAAACATTAAAAAAAAAAAGAAAACCACCAATAAAGGAAGCCAGGGAAACTAACAGAGATGATGTGAAAACCTGCAGAGATATAAAAAGGGGGGAAAATGATGCATAGCCCTGTTCCTGTGGGAGTCTTATGGCGAGTATGATATCATCCCTCTTATGAAAAATGCCTCCGCGCGCACACATGCACACGCAGCACACCTTAAATAACTTAAATCAAATTTCAGGGTGTGGGTTTTCCAGGCTACTTGCGTTGAGGTTCATAATCAGAGCACACAGGAAGGTGACATGTCATGGTCTGATGAGAGCTCTCATCGCGCCGCCTGCCTCCAAACCGCTCTTCCTTATAATGAAAAATACACAGCGGCTGCATTTGTGTCGTTAAAATAGAAGAACAAGAACAACATTTTAAGCATAAACTTTTGCAATCGCACCATTAGCACAACAAAATTCAGCATGTGATTAACTTTCAACATCCATTTAACTTCTTTTGTTTTTCGCTCCCTCTCCGAGCAGTCTGCAGACCGCTAGACTGGAAAGCCTCGCTCCTCTGTACGCCGTGTTGTCTCGCTCGTAGGGCTGCAGTCTGTCTTGCACCAGTACCTCCTAGCTTGGGGCTAACCCTGCTGTGTGCATTTCTTTTACACTCACTTGCACAGAGCAAATGCCCTTAATAACCATTTAGCTGCTAAGGCACGCTTGTCTGTCCCCCATTCACAGCCTTAGCCACTAATTACCTTCCCAAAGTAATGGACATTTCTGTGTTCCCTCAATGCTTCCCTTTTTCTCAGTACAATCAGCCAGCTGCCTTCGCTGGTAGGACTCGGTGGTCTACACGGGGCTCCGAAACCAATGTCCGAAAATCACCCCCGACCCGATGTTTGTTTGTTTTGTCCTCCCTCCCGATGTAAAATTATAAAAAACATTTTTAAAAATCCTATCTTCCCCCCCCCCTCCTCAATTACCAGCCCGCCTCCTGGTAAGCAACTCTGAATCAACACAAAGATGAATATGTTCCCAGGACGTTTACAAAATACAAGCATTAAAACAGCCTGCAGCTTTGTGTACATAGAGATGCATAAGAGTCTGTCAAGTAAAGGAAAAAAAAAAAAAACATATGGACCCAAAATTTAATTGAGTCCAACCCAAGGCTGATGTCTTAATTAGAAATTGAAAATTCAACATGAAAATTGACTGCGTCGGCCCACTGGAGGCTGGAACTTAGGTTTGATCTCTGGAAGAGGGATTGAATTAGCCATCTAAAATATAAGATCTGCACAAAAAAAAAGGAAAAGTACTAATGCCAAATGAAGATGGAAAGAACTAGAATACACTAACTAAGTCAGAAACACACACTACACAGTCCAGTGCCATTTCACACTGCAAATGTCAGGAGTAAATATTAGCAGCGTGACTATTGTTTGAGGCTCGCAGCTACAAATTAAATCTATCAAAGGATAAGTTGTGTCAGGTTCTTAGCGGTTTACCACATCAGCTAATCACGTCTACTGATCCTGCTGCCATTTTACTTTAACCACAAACAAACTCTAATAAGTGATCGCAGCCAAAACGCATGTATTCCCATACTGTTACACCATCAAAACGAATCGCTAATCAAAGAGATCAGACGGATTAATCTCTTTATCAGATAAGATACACCAAGCAAAAGGTGATAAAAGCAGACCGTATATATGCATTAAAGGTTTGGGTTCAGAGGTTTCCAGAAAACAAAGCCATGTTTGAAGCCATTAGGATTCTCTAAACGGGCTCCGCAAACCCAGCACATAATAAAAAGAGCGATCATGCACGGATAGTCAAAGCAGACATTCTTCCACCGCCTCTACTAGACAGAGATGAAGACCACGATCGGGAGTGACGCGAATACCAAACAAAACTTGTGTCCAAAGTGAGCACAATTCGCTGTTTTTTTTTTTTTTGCTGCACAGTTTTCTCTCCTAAAACGACATGATTCTAGGTTCACAACTGCAGCGCCGAAGACAAAATATTCCATCAGTATAATAATTTCCCGGGCTGTGATTCACTCCGCTAGCAGAGGGACCCGAGTTAGTTATTTGCAAGGTGGTGTTTTTGGACCTTGGAACCTGTAAATATGATTTTACCGACTGCCCCTCCCTTCCCCGAGCTCTTCCAGTGAGGTGCCCTCGATCAAAGCACATAACCCCCATTTCCCACCGGAGCTGCTTGATGGCCGACAGAGGGCCGTGTTTGCACAAGGGTGTGGATGTGTATAGCTGAATTAAAGGCTCGGAAAGTACTTGTATGCTCTTCAGCGCTGTTCGCCGGCAAAATAATAGTCTGGTGTGTGTTCGCCCGGTAAACTCGTTCTGCATCCAAAGCCCCAGAAAACAGGCACGTCTGCATGCATACATCCTCCTGCATGTGTCTGAGTGTTGCTGCAATTTTCAGCATTTTGACAAAACAATCAAAAGAAAAGATTAAAAAAAAAAAAACAGACAGCAGATGAATCCCACTGATATCAAATGCTCAGCAGGTACTCAAATGCTTCAAGAGTAATACTTTTACTTTTGGTCTTTTTGAACTGATGAAATCATCTCCATTTGCTTTCACAATAAGACAAAAAAAAATGTACACATATACCACTTTTACAATTTATGATGGTCGACCTCTAACAGTCATGACATTAACAGAAGTATGTATATATCTATGGTTTTGCTGGATTCATCTATTCTCAAATACTTGCAGCTCTCTGAGGTTTATATAACTCAGCCGCCGCTTCCTCGAGACTGCGACCCAAATGCAAAGAATGCAAACACATACAACTCGGAGAACGATTCCGAGCATTAAAGTGCACGTACTGACTCATCCATCATCAGACTCTTCACTCCGGGCTGCCATAATCATCCATCTTCCCAATTTGTTAAGATAGATGGCTGAGAAACTAAAGGAGGAAGCTAACCCAAACTCCCAGAAGCACTTTAAAACATTAGAAGCCCGGATATTTTCAATGGCGCGGAGAGGAATTAACGCGATGCAAAAGTTTTCACAGGTACACCTCGTGTACTTCTGATAAAACCTCCACTGAATATAACATCATCATCCCGTGTGTAGAGAACAACAGGGCTCACACCGACGCCGGGTTTTTCCTTCAACTCAAACGCACATAAACTGACCCTTGTGCATTTCAATTTACAGATTTGTATGCCCGATCCATGGCTGACAAATAAGTACACTCTAAATAGAGCCGATTCATTATTTGTGGTAAATCACAGTAGGCTACGAAATAATCAGAACATTAACTTACTATTTTTTTCCCCCCTCTCCCCAGTGCATTGATTTAATTACAGTTATTAAGAGCAATGAAAACACAGAGCACAGGTATGCTACTATATGAATACTAAATGCCTAAATCAGCCCATGTGGCTGTGGCAGCGAGCAGGAAAATGGGGGTTGCAAAGCAAAACAGTAGACAAAAATAGGAAAATGATAGGCGAGAAGAGAAAAGAGGTTGAGCAATTTTCCCCTCCCACTCCGGGCACAAAATGAGAGCTCACCTGAATAGGACCAGTAGGGGTCACCAGCTGTCCTCCTCTCCCTCATTACACCTGCGCTTCCATGATGGCCGCCTCCGCCGTGGCGAGGTTGACCGCCCGATGCAACTGTGGGAGGCAGAGATGGAGGTCAGAAAGTACGTGGGAGAAAAGACGAGTTTCTATGGCAACCGTAACAAATACCATAACGACTGACTCGACGATCTGTTAAAAAAAAAAACAATCCATACGTCTGATGTCGATGAAGTCGGCAACACGGGGAGAGATTTATTTACATACGTGTCGGATAAATCCCACGTCCTGTTTGACTAGTTCACAAAAATAAAACATTTGGCCATAAAAACACACATGATTGCAGCGAACATCAGGTGTTTTCTGAGCAGAAATGACTTAATGGATATTTATCAATTATCAGTCCTCTCAGATGTTCCCTTAACCTTATGGAGAAGGTCCCAGCTAACCTGCTAACCATCCAGTAGCTGTCAGTGAAAAAAACCACACACCATCAGGGGTTTCTGAATTACCTCAAATCAAAGTTCTCCAAATTGTAGATCAGAGTTTCTCTTTACCTCAGCGTAATACAAATATTCAAAGTGGCCCTGCTTCTTCTCTGGAATACAGCTGCTCTCAGCCAGGACCCCCCCAGAGGTGATGGTGACTGAAACACACTTAACAAGGGTAATTTCTGCCTGGTTATTCCAGGTCCCTCGACCTGCCTGGCTCTTCTGACAAATGGCGGTCCCCTCGCCTCGCAGCCTATATCAGTGAAGGCAGAAGCTGCAGCAAATATGGTGACTGTGTGTACGGAAAGGAAAAAAAAAAAAAAAAAAAGTCATAATAATCTGTGCTTTCAGCCCAGGTGGCATCATTTGACACAAAGCATTAATGGGTGGTAATGATCACCGCCATCAGGGATGTGCAGAAAACAAGAGGAGCTTCTCCTGCAGCCCCTACGACGCTTCCTGCCCTCTTACAATTACCATCAATCACATCCATTACGCCAGCAGTTAGTCAGGAGAGTAGAAAAAATTAATACGCTGCATTATCAATATGGTTGCAGCATGCTTGTACTAATGCTGCAGCAGCTTCCCTGCACAGCTCCTGTGCAAACACTCCATTTGGTAAAGAGTCCACAAGCAGTCCCGTGTCTTTTAGGCATCTTTAACTTCTTGGGGGAAAAATTGCCCGCAAGAAATTAAACAGAATTACAGCTCAGGGCACAATTTGTCCTTGAGCACACACACACACACACACACACACACACACACACTCCCCAGAGCATGTAGCCTCTGACTTACAACAATCAAACCCATCGGGGAATATGTGCTCCACAACGGATGCAGCCGGTGCCAGGGCAGAAGGAAAATGTCTCGCTCAAGCCATTGTCAATCAGGTGCACGAGCGAGAATAGGATTGTTTTGTGTCGCTTCAAGCAGTCAAAACTCACTGTGGCATTCAAAACCTGGAGATTGGCTAATACGGGCTCCCCGTCGCTCCAAAGATGCAAACAATCGGGCAAGCAGATTGTTTTTGTGTAAAAGGAACAGCAGGAAAACCTAAAACAAAACCGGAGACGGCAATCTGCGAGACTCGAAATGGAAGCAGGAGTCGCTGTAATGTAGTTTTTGACTCCATTTAGATAATCCGTGTTGTGTCGCAGGTTGTTTTTTTTTTTGTACAAACTGGTCACACATGGTACCCAATATTGTGTTTTTAAAACTCCTCACACGCTTCCCTTTACAAACATGCAGCCTGGCGCGACGGTTAATCTCGCATCCAAAACAAAAGCACAAAAAAGCTACCAGAGACATTTATTCACGTGTGTCTTGGTGTCGCTTCAGCTAAAAGTCGGGAACCTTTTCAGAACACGACGACTTGGAGTCGCATCGCCGTATAGGATTATTTGAGATACAGATTATAGTAATTTTATGGATTTTCCCACATGATTAAAAGCTTTAAAATCTTACATCTTAATGCACCCATGTGGCAGGATTTCCTAGCTCTAATCGTATAAACACACAACTTTACATCTCGTCACTGTAACCATGACAACTGCTTTATATCCCACTTGTTAGCGGTCTCGTGGGGTTAAAGTTAACTTCACAACAATAGCACAACTCCCTGGACTCCGGAGGCTAAACCACCTTCAAAAAAAGGGAGTCGTGGTTGCCTCGATCGGCATACGTACTTTAGACACACACACACACACAAGCGCACACACACACACATCCATATATCTCCAGCCACTTAAGAGGAGCCCCGCTCTTACTAATAGTTGCATCATTACCGAGGATTAATTAAACTAAGCACAACATCAAGCCAAGTCTTTTTATGCACTTAAAGTCAGCGCATTACTGTTTCCAAAAACGAGCATGAGCCACTTACATGCTGCTCTCCGAATCAAATTCGTTGTTTAGAGGCAGTTCACACGAGCTACAGGAGCAAAGTCATAAATGGCTGCTTTGTTATCGTCAGATGCACCGATTTACTGCGGGGAGACACGGGTTAAACATGAAGTGCGAAACAGAGGGGGAGGGAGTCTCAGTGAGACTTGGAGCATATTTGAAGGCAGGTTGTGAAACAGGAGGGCTGCACTGTCTTTGATCAGAGAGCATAGGAGACAGCACCATGTCAACAGTTTACACACATCCATGTCAGCCGTCCCCCGTGGGCAAAGGATTAAAGCCACAGCATCTCTGATAGAGCCGAGCAGACAACGCAGTCGGTGCCGGGCCTGAAGGAGACTGAGCCGAGCTGTGCTGCACTCAAACAACATACATAAATGTGAGATGTGGAAAACACAGGTGAATTATGACAGGTAGTTTAAATGAGACGTTATATACACCCGGTCTGGCCTGGATTTTTATATCCGAGTATTTTTTAGGAAGCTGGGAGAAAACAAAGGGCTTCAAAACACCTACGGAATAACACTTTGTACACTGTAAAGGCCTGCAAAATCATTTTCCCTTTTTCATTGCCCTTAGGGCAGTTAAATCATCTACACCACCATTAAGCCCTACTATTTGTTCCATAATATCACACTCGACAACAAGCCAAGAACCCCTGAGAGCCCTTGAAAAACAGCAGCCTAACAACAACCACAGGAGCATTTAGCTTGCATTAGTCATTGGGGGACGGAGTTAAAATATCAATCTTATCAGCGGCGTGAGCATCAGGTACGTGAAGGATGGCCGCGCTGCCACATCCGTGTCACCAGCGGGATTATTTGGGGATGGATTAAACTATCAAATGCATCCCGAGTTATAATGTCCATGTAAATTAAAATGGCGACAGCGTGCTGGTGTATTTCAATGAGGCGAATTTCGACAATCTGCAAGTAAAATGCACACCCAGGATGTGTTTCAGGTGCTGCCTCCTCACAGCTCACTGGATCTATGTGTGCATGACAACGGAAACTACAAACCCATACCCTCTCTCCACCAGGAGTGTTTGTATGTGCACTATTATCAGCACTGAAGAAGGCTGTCGGATATGATAAACCCACTACTTCAATGCAAAAAACAAACCAGTGCATCATATTGCAAAAGGAGGATAGTGTCTTATAGAAGCTAAAAATAGAAAATGAAACTCCAGAAATGAAACCGAGTCTTAAAATAGAACACGAGGCCTGATTTTTTTTTCATGATATCTGCTTGTTCTTGTTTCAGCTAATACAAAAATAAATTGAAGATCAGTTAGGCCGGTACGCCTTGTACCATCTGGTAATCTATTATTTGTACCGATCCTCTGTGACAGTATTTGGCTTTAAAGGATAAAGCTGTCGATATTATATATTTTTGCCATCATCAGCAAACCCCGGCACGAAGAAACCCAGCGATGCGTCCGTCTATACCTCCAGATTTTTTTTTTCCCTGCCGAGGACAGAAAAATGTCACAAATACACAGTTTCATTGACACTAATTCATTTGGTCAAACATCTGACGTTTTCGAGCAAACGTTACTCATTAACAGGAGCAAACAGAGGATTTGTCGAGGGCCATTTCCAGCCACGGATTCGCTAATGAATATTTACTACGGCAGGACGGTGTATGTGGTATTGACTCAAAATAAACTAACAGTGTTCGTGGTAATGAAGGAACACGTCTCCAAAGAACAGGCCGGCTCACTCAGGTTGGTTTTTTTTAATTGGTTTTAGCAAAAAAAAAAAATAAAAAATAAACACACCTCTGCAGCCCTACACCATCAAGCCAGTCATCAACGTGGGCCTTTTTAATGGGATTTGTTGGATTCGATGGCCGCTGTGATTCCTATACACACCTTTGTCACCTCTTCGACCTTAAACTGGGAAAGACGTGCTGGATGTAGTCGCACGGCGCCGCTCATGGTGTCAAAACCCATTATCGCTGAGAACAGGTTATTTCAGCCTAATTATTACAAACCAACTTAGCTCACTTGCAACGCAGCGTGTCCTACCACTATTTTACTGGTTAGCTCAAAGAGAAAAAAAGTGGAAAAATACCTCTTGGCAACACCAAGGTCCCTGAAGAGCGTGCACTTTATTCAACAACACGCCTCGCATCACCTTCACACGCCTAATGAAGGCGATGTGCCCAATTGTGTTTGAATAAAGCGGATACTTTCAATCGAGTCAGTCGGCATCGTTACGTTTTTTCACGCTCGCCTCCCTCCAGCATTGTCCTGCTTTACATTCATGCAGCTACAGACGTTTTGACAGTAGCTGTTGTGGGAGAAGGAAGCGCGGCGGCGGCTCTCGTTCGTTTCACCCATTTTCTCAGCTGGTCCCTTTAATTAGAGGGAGAGAGAATGCATATCATTAAATTGACTAATTAGACAAAACTACAGTCTCAACAACTTTTACATTATTCCGTCTGAAATCGTACTAAACAGAGATGAGCTGTGTTTTCACGAGCATCATGAGCGTGGAAAAGGGCAGACTCCGGATGCAAAAGTGGTATGTATATGAGGAGGAGAGGGAGGGAGAGAGAGAAAAAAAAAGTGAATACTGAGGAAGACAGCTGCTGTCTGAGCAAACTCATTTCCAATGCATCGAGTCAACTGTCAAATGTAAGGACATCTGCTGCGCTTTCTGCTGACTAACATATGTCTTTATGACAAACACCTGAATT